CCCGTAGGGGTCCCATCCCCAGTTAGTGACTCATCTAAATTACCAAAGGCACCTTCTGAGTTTTTTTGTTACACTGTGCACAGACCATAAGAGTTTTTTGTTATGCAGAAGGGCAATTTTAATTGTGTGGTGTACAATTTCACAAGCTTTTGTCAAAGCATTAATGAGTGACTTGTGGTATTTGTGGTGTGTAAAAAGAAAACGTTTGGAGAGCGCGTGTGGCATTAATTAATATTGAAAAACCCTAAATAGGTAGGAAATAGGTTAGGGTTTATTTCAAGTAATAATTTGGAGGGATCGAAGACAGACATTCGAGAGGGGCCCCCTCGTGGGCATCACGTGCCTCCCTTCCTAGGACAAAAGACACAGAGGGCCAACTAAAGCCACCCCTTAATTTCCTCTTCCTTCTTCTTCTTCTTCCGATCTTCTTCTTCAGATTTCTTCCCTCATGTATGTCCACGCCTCTCACTCTCTTTGGATCACTTTGTCACGTGGCGTTGTACTCACTTTGTGAGGTTATTTGAATGAAATGGATCTTTTGTAGGACCCCTTTCTCTTCCTATATAACCTAATGTTGACGCTGCTTCCTGCTAATTAAATCAATCAGATCACTTTATTAAGGAGAAATAACAGTTAACGACTTTTAAACTCTGTATATATTAGTGACAAACCAAAATTTTATTTATAAAAAAATTTGTCCTTTTAACATCTGCAACATCACGTTGTAATCTTAAAAATTATGAGCGGTATAAACTTACAAAGTATTAATAGTAACTTATTCCTGTGAATTTTTTTTGAAAGTAATGATTATTATTAGCATTTAAATCATCGTTAATAGAAACTATCAGTTTCTATGATGTGAACCAATTCTGAGTTATTCTTAAATAAAATTTAGAATTTCAAAAAAAAATTTTGAAACACATCAACTTACCAATTTTTTTGGTCAAGTCTAAGGTATCCACCGCGGGTCATTTTAGGTTATATACCTTTTTTGCCAATTTTTTTTTTGTCTATAAGCTTATTCAATTGAGGTTTTTTTTTCTGTAAAAAAAATTAATTGATCCATATGATGTATTCTCGTTTGTTTGAAAGAAATGGCAATAACCTAGCTATAGATGAAAGAATTCCAGTTTCGTTTTCCTCGGAGAACATGTTTCAGTTTTAGTGGCAGAGGATGTGAACCAGGTATAATCTCATGACCTGTAAGTTGATTGAAAATGGAGAGTTTGATTGACTTAATATAGATCATTGCATATATATAATTGATTATTTTGAAGAATTGTCAGTTGTTAATTCAGCAAATAATAATTCAACTCAATTATCTCCATATGTATTGACATCCATCATCCAAAATATAGACAACAATTAAGATTGTCTCCTACATTAAATAGACCGCCACATACTGTTATAATTGCATCCCAAATTGCTCACAATAAATGGTAAGCCCTTTAAAGTTTAGCCTTGAAGTTTCGAAGTTTAGTTAGTAAGTATTTAATACTCCCTCTAATCCTTATTATCATGGTACTTTTTCCTGTTATAATAGGTCTTTAACATAAATTTTTTTATTTAAAGTATTAATGTTTTCCCTAAATGTCCCTGTCTTAACATTTACTAACTAATCAAACAACCTACGATCCCCTAATTAGTGAATTTGTTTGAGGGTATAAGAATTAGAGGAAGCACTTCTTTGAGTCACTGCGAATGAGAAAAACTATATAACAATTCCAAACACAATGAGTTGTTAATTAATGCGATTAATCACAGCAAGCCATCATGAGCAAGCTTTGGAAAGTCTGAAGACTGAAGAGCACAAAGAGACAAGTGTAATTAAGCAAAATCTAAAGCTGGAGTGTTGCGTGGAAGATATTAAAAGGGTAAGGATTTGAGTTATTAGTTTACAGGGAAATGAAAATAAGAGATTAATGATGGATTTTGCTGTTACCTGATGTGGAGGGGCCAAGGGAACAAAGGGAAGAAAGAAAGGATGATTTGGTTTGAACACGTGAAACCCTCTTTGTCTTTTAGGTCTCGTTTTGGGTATCAATTTGATGATGTTTTTGGCCTTCCTTCATGACAGTCTTATTCACCTGGTTTCTTCAAAATCCTCTTTTGTTGCTTTATGCTTTTTTTTTTTGGGGGTGACTTTTGGTCACTCTTTGTACGTTGATCCCTTCTTATAGATTTCCCTGTCTAAAGTTGCCACCCCCCTCCTTGGCAATGCTCATCAACTCCATTAGGCTCACTACTATCTGCAGTTTCCCCCATGTTTATCTAATCTACGTAAATGCAAAACTGAATCATAAGAAATTTTGTGCGTAAACCAATCATGTACTATCTTAAAGGAGTACTACTATATATTCACCTTAAAATTCATGCATTAACCAAAAAATATGTCTGATCATTCGGAAATTTAGCCTTTTTTCTTGTATCCGCAAGTACTATACAAACGCCGGCAAAGATAACGCCAGAGAAAAAGCATCAAGTTGGTCACAAAGCTGGATACCCTTTAGAAACATAGCTGGATCCCCTGATTAAGATTAAAGGGGCATATGTTTCAAGGTACTGGACTCTCAAATAGACAAGAAGGCACGTATCTTTTTGCCAACAAGATGGCATGTGTGTGTGTGGGTGTGTAGACACACATGCACAAATATAATTAATCATATAGACACCCCTAAACATGATGTGGCATGCTTTGAGAAAAATACATAGGAATGCCCAATTAGCCACATTATTGAACTTTAGTACAATAAGTTAGTTCTCTATGGATATATCTTAAGAGCAAAATTCCTCTTTACCCAAAATCAATTTAAAATTTACAGTCAGTGGTAATATCTTTTAGTCAAGAGGCAACGTTGCAATGATTTTGACACTTAAAGGGTGGTATTTCTCCCATAAATAGGTCAAAATACCCAGTACTCCTTGCGAAATAGTTCAAAAGCAAAAGTATTCTTTAATCCTATTACACACACACACACACACACACACACACACACACACATATAGAGAGAGAGAGAGCATGAGCAGAAAAGAGGAAAAGCAATGAGTTGTTTTGACCTCAAAAGTAAAGTATAGAGTTAGGTGCGTGAAAGTATATATAAAATGATATAAAGGCAAAAGGAAAGGGTAACAAAGGGAAGGGATATAATAAGAAGCGTGAGATATTGGGAGGTTCCGTCAAATTGTGATGTTGCCACTATGAGTTGCCTCCTTCTCTCTGGAATGCACGAGTGGCTATGCACTGTTTGTGGGAGACACAGACCAGCACAGACACCCCCAGTTTAGCCGCAATGAATTTCATAACTCTTTCCTATAAAAACCCTTTCCCATGGATCCAAGTCAACGCAATTACATTACTTTATTCCCCCATTCAAAACCATACAAATTCCTATCCTTCTCTTTTCCTTTTTCTTTCTTTATTAATTGTACACATTAATTATGCCAGACAGAGGGATCTCGGAATTTTCCCACTGCTACCCAGATGATAAAAGCCGCGGCCTTTACTGGGACGGAAGAACAATGAAATCAGAAACCCAAAGGAAGATGAAGGAAAAAAAATCCATTAAAAAGAAAGGGCTTTATGAAACCAACAGGTCCGGGCGGATCTCGAGTCCTCTTCACAGAGCCCAGCGTTCGTCTCTGAAGCTGAAGACTTTTGTTTGGGCCAGAAAGTGTAGATCCACGTACGTGCTGGGGAAATTTGGGTTTGGGTTTTATTCTTCGGAGAATCAGGCTTAAGCTTTGGTTGGGCCCAAAAGCTTAGATCCACGTACATGTTGGTGAAATTGGGTTGAGTGCTTTAAATGGTCATGTGATTGAGGCCCCAGCAGCGTCCCATTAAATTTGTAAAGTGAAATTGCATCGTTGACTTCAAGTGATTTATCGTACACATGCCTCCCAATTTCAATTTTTATATTTATGGACCACTAATATTTGATCTTAAAAAGTTTTGAAAGCTTCTGTACAAATACGCTTTTTTTTGTCTGGAATTCCTACAAAAAATGGAATAAGAGACGCTTTTGCCCTCACTTTTCCCTCAATGTATGTGGAATTTTAATTTTTAAAATATATTTGATATAATTGCATTGAAAATTACTCTGTAGTTATAGTCAATGCAGGTCTTCCACTTTATCCTTTCGCCCCCCTAAAAAAGGGTAATCACACATACAATTATTGTCACAATCCGATATTTTGAAGTGATTTATCGAACATATACCTCCCAATTTGAATTTCTACATTTATGGACCATTAATATCGTTCTTACACAGTTTTGAAACCTTCTATACAATCAAAAAATAACCCTTTTTTTGTTCGGAATTCCTACAAAATATGGCATAGGGGACGCTTTTGTCCTCACTTTTTCCTCAATGTATGTGGAATTTTAATTTTTAAAATATATTTGATATAATTGCATTGAAAATTACTTTGTTGTTATAGTCAATGCCGGTCTTCCGCTTTATTCTTTCGCCCCCTAAAAAACGTTAAACATATATGCATGCATACAATTATTGTCATAATCCGATATTTTGAATATTCTTTTGTCCCTATTATATGAGTATTTATCACGGCAGACATATATATACACGCTGAATTTATTAACGTAACAGCGATTTGTGAATGGGGTGGATATGATGATAACGCTAAGGCGCGCGACTACGGTTAGGATTAGGTGGTAATTAAATGTCGTCATTTGGCGTGGGACCACCCAACCCTTGAAAATATCTGCATCCACCACCCAGCATTGACTTAACTTACCCAGGATTATCATCTAGTCGATGAATAGACGAGGTCAAAAGGAAATTAAAACACATGCATTTGAGCTATGAACGAGTCGTTTATATTCAATCCTTTGTATGGGGACTTAAGAGCCATAGATGAGCTATATTACAAATGCCTTCGGCTTTCGGTAAACGAAAAGTCTCGCAAGCATTGGAGCTTGAACTTCTTGGTCTATAAATATTTAGAGTAGTGTGTCCAGCAGTACAGAAGAATAGTTCACAATGGCAACCATTTCTGAGAGATCCTCTCGAGCCCAGGCCAGAAATGGATGGCTGCATGACCCCTTCCTTTTCACTCCTAGTGCCTTCTTCACCTGGAGTAAGACCATATCCTTTGAAACTTGATCCTTGTGATCAAAACATACCTATGCTCTCATGATTTTCAGTTTCTTACTTATATATATATATATGCAGGCTTGGCTGTGAGCTACAACATGGTGGAGTATGCATGTCTCTCGATCATTATCACCTTCTACACGAAAGAAGCTATGAAAACTCATCTAGCGGAAGCAGCCATAATCGTTTGTGTGCAGGATGGTCTCGCTTCTTTCGCAGCTGTAGTTCTCGCTCGCCTCACCTGTGAAAGATCTGGTCGTCGTTTTTATGCGATTGTCTTCACAACAGGTTCATATATTGCAGTAAGTATATATCTCAACGCTCCCTCGTATTACACACACAACTTCTTTTAATCAAAACAGGATGCGATGGTGATGACTAACTATACATAACTGTTATGTTTTGACAGGGAGTGATAATGTTATGGTCTTATGCCAGACAGCAACCCCAAGATCAAGAGAGGAACGTGCCTCTTTTCTTAGTGGTATCTTGTCTTTTTGCATTAGGAAAGGCAGGATATGATCCAGTTTTGAAGTCATTCCTGGAGCGTAATTTATGTGGAAGCTCCACTGAAAGAACAAGCCCGACAAAAAGATCAGAAATTTACAAGAACATATGGGTTCATGGTGCTTGGATTGTCGGAGCCATCATAGCTATCTTTGGCTTTTTGGGACTTGAGTGGCCAAAAGTTTTGGAATTGTCACTTATAGTCATGATATCATCTGGTCTCTTTTTCCTTTTCGGCTCCAACATTACTGAGCCTATGAGTCATTCATCAGTTCACGAAGACGCCACCACCGTCGTCCCAAAACGAGGGAGAAACGCGATGAAGTGGCTTTTGATGTTTAGCTGCATCGCATACAGCTTAGTCTTGGCCACTGGTAACATTTTCTTCCAAGAACAAGGTACTAAAATGGAGCCTCTGACGATAAAGGGGAAGGAGGTTCGGCTTTCTCTCATGATTGTAATAAAGAGCGCTGTGAATGAAATCACCATACTGATATTTGGTTTATTTAAGGCTAACAAAAAGCAAGGGATCACATTAGTAAGAATTGGTAGTGGAATGGTCTGTGCTATTATATGTTGTGTGATAGCATGGAAGGTAGAGATTGAGAGAAAGAAAGAGGTAAGCGATAAGGGCCCCAAGACTAGTGTGGCATGGTTGTTCCCTCACTATGTTCTATTAGGACTCGTGGAAGGGCTTGCCCAAAGCGGGTTAGAGGAACTGTTTGGAAATGATTATGATGAGAATGAGAGATTGAGGAATCCTGGGAAGCTTTCAAAAGAGATGGTTTCATGCGTGGGGAAGTTCTTGGGGATTCCTTGCATTGTGATTGTGAGAAGGTGGTTCAAGAACTTTGACAAAGACCAAAGCCGTTTGGATAGGTACTATTTTATGTTGGCAACATTGTCCGGTGCGTTCTTTTTCATTTACGTTAATGTTGCTTTCTTGTTTAATAAAGTTGTGTCTGATGCTGCAGAAGATGAAGGTAGTAATGGCATCGCTAAGGCTCAACGCTAAGGCTCATGTTGAGTCAACATGACTTTAGGATTAGTGAGTATATACGTAATCTCTGTAGTACGGACACGGTTGAGCAGTTTGGATTGTTTTATTAGACATGTGTTAAAATACAAACTAAGTGTCAGTTTTAAGTTGTTGCCCGCTGTATCTTTACTGTTACTAGATTGTTAAGATAGGTTGACACATGTCAAGCAAGTTGCTCAGAATTGTGCACTTTTGATCCTCCATAAATACTGTAGTCTTCATCATGAATAAATGAGATTACGGAGCTTAATCATTTTCTCAACTATCTAAACTGTGGTTTCTGGCTTGTTTACATTAGATCTTTCGTATCATAGTGTGTTAGTTTAGGTCCCCATTTTAAGGAGGAACCGGTTTCGGTGCTCATCATCTTGATGAGCATCCTAAACTTATTAGATCTAGACCGTCTATATTTGATTTAAATTATTCAGATTTAAAATCTTTAATTAATTATTTTTAAATAAAAAATTTATTTTTTAAAAGAATGATCATTAAGAAATTGTTTTTATTTTAGATTCTATATATATTACAATAATTGTTCTGAACAAATAACAAAAACAAATCAAATCTGGACTATCTAAATAAAATATGGATGATTTAGATCTGATGAGCTTAAAATGCTCATAAATGATGAGCATCCTTTTAACGATAATTAATGGATCATATTATTATGAATCATTAATTCCATTAATATAATTAACTATATTTCTGTCAAATTCGTGCGAGGAAGTACCTACTTTATTTTTCTTGCTCCAGGGGAAACCGTAGATGATGATTTAAATGGAGTTGGATCACACTTATTCAGACATTCAGCTTCGAAATGATATTTTTAATCAATTAATAAAAATGGATCTAAACAATTTAAGATAAAACGCGACGTTATATAAAGATGGTTGTTTATTGGTACGTTCCCAATTGTTCCCGCAGGGGGGGAAAAAAAAAATCTCTCGATGATAAGTAAGTGACCTATATGGGGGATGATATGGAATGATGATGTGATTGTGCACTTCATCAAACCTTAAATGCATGATGGCGAGTAGGAGCAGGGAATCAAGGGGCCGGGGTATTAGGTGGACTTAAATTAACCAGGGTCTTCATTCAGTACTTATCGTTATGCTCATCACTCTAATATAATTTAAACCATCCATTTAATATAGATAGTTTAGATTTAAAATTTTTAATATATAATTTTTTCAATGATAAATTTATTTATTTTAAATTCTGTGTTTATTAAAACAAAAAGTTGATTAAAACATATAAAACTTTTAAATTCAATCTGAATCATATAAAATCGATCTGGATGGTAAGTACTCCATGCTCATAATATACTAATGCATACCAATAATTTGTTGGAAGAAGGAGAATATTTCTGGGAAGCGCATTTGTTGGGAAAATTTTAATTTTGATATTATCAACATGATGAAGATTAATCTCAAGTCCAAATTAAGTAATCCATAAATAAGGGAGTCTGGGAGGATTTTGTTTCTGTCTCTAAATATTGATCCAAATATTAACTGCACAAATTTAAGAGTATTAATTGCACACAAGTCATTTAAATTTTAAATATCATTCTCGGTCAATTTATACATGTATCACAATATTCACTTTGCAACTATTTAAATTAATATTTACAACTTAATTTTTTAATAGAAAATTTTGGTTTTTCAATATCTAATTATTATTACTTCAACTCTTTGAAAGTTAAATGTCATTCTTCCTGAAATGTTACTATCTGAATTTTGTTTTATGAATGAGGCTTGACAAAGAAAAAATATGAAATATAAATGAATTAATTCAACATATCACGGCATGGAAATGCATGCGACTGTGTAGCCTTGGTGAGCAAGTTTTGTGATTGGATTAGGTAACCGTATGTAGTCAAATTCATGAGATTTTCTTCCTTTCGTTCATTCTTTTTGACCCGACCAATTCATCAGGAGAGATTAAATTAACTGTGAAAACCTGACTTTAATCACCTAATAATCTCGTGGATCAATTTCTTGTGTTCCGGTTGCTGAGAGATAATCAAAACCATAAAAAGCAAAAATATAATTCAAAGTTTCAAGGTTTGACCGAGACAAACGCCTTTCACAATATTCTCAACTTCTAGAAATAGATCATTAATTTAGAACCCACTATCTGTTTATAAATTAGATATTGATCTGCTTAATTTTTCATAAAAAATATTTCTATACATATTTTAAATTAAATTATCATCCATTTTAACGAAATCATGATATGATATTTTTACGTTATAAAAATATTATGCATTATAACCATGATAAATGCTAAAAAATTAGTAATAAATATCTATTTTGAATATTTGTTGTTAATTATACAACTTGATTTACTAAAAATATCCATTTTATGCTTCGACGGATATTTTTTTTAGAAAAATTGCGTGGTCAACGGAGATTACAAACTTGCCACATTCATTTTCAATCCTCGATATATACCCAAACTTGAGAACGAGCAATCACGTTCGAATATAATAATTAAACGCTCCTGCAAGTTTGACATTAATCGGAAACGAATTGTATTATAAACATTGCAGCATTCGACATCGTCCATCAAGCAGTTATAATTCAGAATGGAGACCATTAATGCTGGTGGATCATCACATAGTTGGTTGCAGCACCATCGTTTGCGTCTAAGTCCTAGCGCCTTCTTCAGCTGGGGTAAGAGCGTAAAACCTTTGAAGCATGAGCCTTTAATTTGATTAAAACACTGATCATCAGTACACAGATATACCTTAGACAGATTCATTACTTTCTTCTGTACCTGTTCTTCGCACAGCTTTGTTGGTAAGCTACAACTTGGTGGAGTACGCATGTGTGTCGATTCTGATAACCTTCTACACACAACAAGCCATGCAAGATCAACTAGTTGAAGCAGCACTATTCTTGTGTCTGCAAGAAGGCCTCGCTTCCCTCACAGCTATAGTTCTTGTTCGCTTCACCGGCAGGGAAAGACCTGGTCATCGTTTTTATGCAATTGTCGTCACCACAAGTTCTTTTATTGCAGTAAGTTTCCACTGGTTCCAATCTAGTCTATTTTATCAAGTACTTATGATGCCATGATGCTGATATGACTAGCTATACTTGTTGTGTTTTGATAGGGAATACTGATTTTATGGTCCTATGCCAGCCACAGTCCTCAAGAGAAGAAGGTGCCTCTTTTCTTGGCGGTATCTTTTCTTTTCGCATTAGGAAAGGGAGGAGCAGATCAACCTCTCAAGTCATTTCTTGAGCATAATTTATGTGAAAGCTACAATATTGGTTCAATAAGAAGCCACAGCAATAACGAGGAGACAAAAGCCGCAGAATTCCGCAAAAATTTATGGATTCAGAGTGCTTGGATTCTCGGAGCCACCATAGCTATCTTTGGCTTCTTAGGACTCGAGTGGGTACGAGTTTTTCAGATCTCTGCTATAGTAATGATATCAGCTGGTCTTTCGTTCATTTTCTGCGCCAGCAGAACTGGACCTATCGATCAATCAGTTCACAGAGAAGCCACCACCGTCCCAAAACGGGGGAGAAACTCGAAGTGGCTTTTAATGTGTAGCTGCATCGCATACGCCTTAGTCTTGGCCCCCGGTAACATTTTCTTCCAAGAACCAGGTACTAAAATGCAGCCTCTGACGATAAAGGGGAAGGAGGTAAGGTTTTCTTTCATGATTGTGATAGAGAGCGCTGTGAATGAAATCACCATACTAATGTTTGGCTTGTTTAAGGCTAATAAAAAAGAAGGGATCACATTAATAAGAATAGCTAGAGGAATGGTTTGTGCCATTATATTTTGTGTCATAGCATGGAGAGTAGAGATTGATAGAAAGAAAGTGGTTGAGGAAAACGACGCCAAGACGAGTCTGGCATGGTTTTGTCCTCACTATGTTCTGTTAGGACTGGTGGAAGGGCTTGCCCAAAGTGGGTTGGAGGAATTGTTTGGAAATGATAATGAGAATGAGACATTGAGGAATCCTGGGAGGGTGTCAAAAGACATAGTTTCATGCGTTGGCACGATTCTGGGGATTCCTTGTATTCTGATTGTGAGAAGGTGGTTCAGGAACTTCCACAAGGATGAAGCACATTTGGATAGGTACTATTTAATGTTGGTGATATGGTCTTGTGTGTTCTTTTGCATCTACCTTGGTGTTGCTTCTGTGTATATGAAAGTTGTACCCGATGACGATGCAGAAGATGAAGGTAGCAATCGTACTACTGGGGTTACGTGATTATGAATCAAAATGATTTTGAGAAGCTTGTGAGGGCTCATGCATAGTTTGGGTTGCTTATGTTAGATTCTGTATATTGTATACTACGTCAATATCACATTGGCAATCTTATCAGTTACAACCCAGCTCTTTACCATTGGGCTCAGATTGGTTGACATATGTATACGTATTTGTGCGCGCGTGCATGCGTGCATCACTTTGGGAAGGATGTCCCTTGTGATTTGTGAATCCAATGGGTGAGGGCCTTACTTCCTGTTCAGGACGAACACTTGATTTGGGCCTTGTAGATTAGGTCCAAATAAATTGGGTTGTAAATTGTATGATGAAGGCCCAATTAGTGTCCCAATGAGCCTGAAATGGCCCGTTATTGTTTTTTCTGCCCCCGTTTTGGTTTTTTTTTGGGGGGGGGAGGGGTTAATGTCAAATGCAAATTGGCGTGTCAGCTTCCAACTTAAAATGTAAATGTATAATAACACAGCAGTCAAAAGTGTCCTTCATATTACCTCAACAGCTGCTTAAACTTTCTTTCTTTCTTTTTTCTTTAACAAATTGTAAATTTTAATGCAAAATTATATATATCCAGCGAAATTGCATGGAAAGGTTAGGAAAAAAAATTTAACTATAACTTTGTCATAAAAAATCAAAATTGAAACCTGAAAAGGAAATAATTGATACATGTGAAAGCCATTAATGCATGTCAATCAACTATAAAATTAGGGATACGAACCCTGGCTTTCCCATTACCAAATATCAATAATCAATAATATATATATATATATATA